TCTAAAATCAAAATAAGGCTACGAGTAAAAAATAAATAAAAGGAATCAAGATCAAAATTAGACTAGTAAAAATCTGGCCATGAATTTATCTTTTTGTTTTTGGTGTTGAAATCCCTTTAAAAGACTTGTAGTTGCGCTTGTGAAATTGATAATATAAAATCTTTATTAGAAACAAAGGTTAATTTATCAGAGGAGATTCTTGGACAATGTACGATAGTGATAGTCTGTCTGATAGATTGAACAATAAAGCTGAATCATACGGTATACTTTATTTTCATTCAGATCCATAACCATGCCTGACAAGGGGACAGAACAATCTGTATATAATACATCTCCAAAACTAAACCAACCTATTTAGAAGAATTTTTTTTTGTAATGAAAAAAGAGAGTTGAAAGTACGGAAAAACATAAATTTCTTGGGGAATCATGTTTTTTGCGGAGGAGTTCCAGCGAGCCAACCCCAGACGCCACCAGAGCTCTGTCTATTGCCGTTCATGGCGGCTTCTTCTCTTTGACAGTGGTGGAGGAGTTCGACTTCCTTTTTAACTGCCTCCATTGTTTGAAGCTTTTGTCGTAGCTCTGCAACTTCAACCTGCAGCAGACACTTAGTCAGAGTTTTGTTAGGATTTTGATAGAGACCTTTTCTTTTGGATTCGAGAATATGCTTAATCATCTCGAGATTCACTCAATATCAACTCAACAACAGAATCTTTTAAAAAGGAAAGAAAAGGAATTTTAGCAGGTCTAAATACCTCTAGTTTAAAACACCTTGATTGTTCCATTGCAAGTTGACTTCGCACAGATTGAAGTTCCTATATATCGAGTACCAAAAATGTCAGATATAACAAAAGAATCTTCAACATACAGTAGTCTCAACTCACGTGTCTCGCTTCCAAATGCTAAAATGCAAGACTGAATACGAACGAATTTGCAGAAAACCAACTACGTTCATGATTCTCATCTGTTGGCTTCTGTTCTGGTAAAAGTGAGATAAAAGGAAAGAGTTTCGTGAAGGCAACAGCATTGTTACCTTGTACAACTCTGTATTTCGCATTTCTGTCTCTGCTGAATCTTCCTTTAGTTGGAGAATTTTTATCATCTCCTTGCTGAGTGATGCCTCCAGTTCTTCCTTCTCGGATTTAAGAGTTGTGATAATGCGTCCGCTTTTTCCTTCAACGTCGGGATTTAGTATCTGAGATACAAAGGAGAAAAAATAAGAGACGCATCGTCATTGTGATTATCACACATTGTTAAAGAGGGAAAATCTGACGCATCGTCAGTTGTGATTATCACACATTTCGGGTTCCCGTACTTTGTCTTCTTGGCTCACCTCGATCTCAGACTCAATCTCTCTGGCCGTGGCGTTATTAACAGCAGAAACACTAATAGGCACAGGAGAAGCTTCCATAATCTTTGATTTCAAGCTTGATTTGTGGCTTGGTCTAAGAACATTCACCTGATTGGCAAAAAAAGTACTGATAACAGAGTTGAAAACCAAATCAGGAGATAATGTATTTATGGATACCTCGTTGTTGTAATGCCCATTGTATCCACCAAAAGCGACTATTACGTTTTCGCCATTGTATGAGCTCACAACTAAACTCAATCCCTGTCATCAAAGGAACATTTGCAGCTCAATTCTTAAAGGAGAGAAAAAGAAATCTCAAGACTGATTTATTCAAGGTCTTGGAAATTTCAAGTATCATGTTTCAGTAATGAATCATGATGAGTAGGAAGACTTATATGGAAAAGAAAATGGGGCTGTTTCTTTAACTACCTCACTAGCAAGAGCTACACGTCCTTGGACTGAAGTGACTACTGACCACGCAAGGGTTGACATGTTTAGTACAACAGTCTCAGATGCCCCTGCGGTAAAGTACCAGGAAGCATCACAATTAATCACACTGTACACAAAAAAAGTGAAGCAGCTATCAAGTTTTTGCCCTGGAAAGGTTCCAGTGTGTAACATAAAAAGCATCACATGGAGGGATAAAAAAAGCAGGGAAGATAAGAGAATTCCCAAGGACAATTGCAGAAACATACCACTCTTGTTATCTCCACTACCAACAATAAACCAGTTCTCCCCAACTGTCACACCAGCGTGTCCAGCACGTGGAGTTGGTGCGTCACCTTGTTGTGTATGTCTTGACCATTCCTCCTATAATATGGAAATAAATATGTCAAGATCACGAAAATGGGCATTGCTGAAGCAAAAGAAGCTTAACATACAGTTTGCAGATCAAAGACGAGCAGATCATCAAAACAAGTTGTATGTGATCCTCCACCAAAGATAAGAAGGTAACGCTCAGCGTGAACTGCAGCAGCATGATCAGACCTTGGAGATGGAGGAGAGCCCCTGCAAGTTGACAGCAATTTAACCTTAAACTGCTGATCTTTCATTCAAAACTATGATATGAAAGTAGATAATTGGCAACTTCATAAAATTTCCTTCATTTTCTAGATTTATATCAAGGCTTCAAACGGACCGGACTTCTTCAAAAGAGAGTAAAATGTAGAAAAGTCATAAAATCTTACACGGCATCTATTTCATCCCAGGTCATGGTATCTAGATCAAGTATATGCAAATCGTTCAGAAGTGATTTCTTTGCATCCTGGCCGCCAAATATCACCAAGCTTTTTCCCACAAGAGTCGCTGACTGGCCTCCANGCGAAACCTGCAAGCAAGAGAGAGTGATAAATATAGTCTCAATTTAAGCAGCCAAACTACATACTCAGTATCCAATATCAGAATAGAGATAAATAAATTAGATTCAGATGAACATTACAGGACAACAACTTGAGACTAGATTGGAATATTTCATTTTTTTCCTTTCCAATGTTCAAAAGTTTTTACTTGTTTACTAGATTCGAATATTTCCCATATAAAGATTAGATAACTTGAGACAAAAGACGAATTACCGGTGGTTTCCCGTATGTCTTTAAGATTGACCATGTGCAGGTGAGCAGATCAAAGACCTTCACTGTGATTAGAAAAGAGAAGAGAAATGATATACAAGAATTGGTAATCACTGGAAAATATCTACAATATATCTGCAATTAACCATCTTTAAAAGTGTTTTAACTCCCACCTGTCATGGATTCTGAGGGATCCTTTGTATGACCACCGACACACAGAAGCTTGTTGTCCCATGGTATCTACAAAACAAACAAAGAAAGCCAGTGGGAATAACGCATCACTAGATTCTTCTCAGCTATAAACTACTAGCAAGTGGATTTCATGAGAGATTACTGTACTTTTCCAAAGAACTGCCCTTGATATTTCAAGGCTAGAAAACTAAAGGCCAAAATACTAACCAAAGAATGACCAGCACAAGGGGTTAGTATTGCTGGAGTTGATCTTTCCTGTGAGTCAGTCGCAACCTTGGTTTCAACTCTTGACCAAGTCCAGTTTTTTAAATCCAGAACCTGTATTTCAAACACCATTAACAGAAGACATTCAAAGTGTTATCAAGAGTGTCTCAGAAAACAATGGGAGAAGATTCTCGATGGTAGGCAAAATAGAAACCACATATTTCGATTCGATCAGCTAATGATGTACAAAGAATGGTATAAGTTCCTTACATGAAGATCACCTAGATAACGCCCGTTGTGGCTTCCACCATACATATACATCTTAACTTGAATAACCGCTGCTCCATGCTGAAACAAATATAATAAACAAGAATTAGGAAAGAGCGAAGACAAGGGAAGAGATCATGTTCTTTCATGTCCACAAGAGTTAGAAAAAGTATACCTCATACCGAGCTTTTGGGGGCTGACCTGGTGTTAGTGGTGCAGTCCACTGGTTATACACAGAAACAGTATTTGGGTCTTCCAAGACAACATCTTTATCTTGGGTTTCCGTCAAGCGCCAATCATCAGTAGAAATCGTCTTTGTCTCACCAAATGAGGCTCCATTTCCAAAGATAGGCTGGGCCTTTGTGCTCTGCGACGGAGAATCAATTTACTAAATGACTAAGATATTTCTCTTTAGCAAAAGGAAGAAAAGTCTGAACTGAAACACGGAATGGTGTTATACATAAAAACCAAACACTAAATGGGAATGATATTCACAAGCAATACATACACAAACTGAAACTTGATCCTATCAAATAGGCAATGAAGTTGCTTAATTTGGGATCTAAAACTCACATTAACTTGGACATATACAGCAGGCTCTGGAACAGAGTTAGAAGCCATTGGATACCAACCAGGATCTTCTTCCTATTAAAAATGAGCAATAGGACGTAATAAGCCTATGATCCAGAGATTCAGTGAAATGAGCATCAACTCCTCAGTTGGTTACCTCAAGAATTTTGACAAAGAGACGCATTGCCTCAATGGAGGGCATGTTTCCAAGCCCCTGCCAACTAGTAAACATGTACTTCTCTTAGGAAAGTTCACAAGGACCATGTCCTGTGCTCGTTTTTCATAGAAGATATCCTAAGGGAATGAGGTGTGCGAAGTAGGTTTGTGTTTGAATTATGGCACACTCTAAGATGACTTTCCTCGGCATCTCACCAGAAATTTAAATGCACACCAAAATTAAGGTAGCTTCTTCATCTTTTTTCCCCCACGGATGGAAATAAAAATCCGACATTTATACGTACTATTTAACATCTTAAGCCTACTTTTTGCCGTTGCCCTGATTCATGAGATATCGTGATCCTTTGCATTCTGAAATCTAAAACCTCTCCTAATGTAGAATGGGAAACAGAAGTAAATCTAACCTTTTCCATTTGCTTTGCTCTACTGAATTCCATGCACTAGGTTTTGGGATGCTGCAAGGTCCTACAGTAGCCTGTTAACATGTGAAGAAGGCACAGGAAAAAAGAAATCAGTATCAGTAAGCCTCTTTATCACACAAGGATGATAAATCATTTGATTCACCAATCAATTGGTGGAGAAGAAAGTACATTTTCAGAGAAAAAAACTAAAACCCAGTTAACAAAATAGTCTTCCACAATTCTCATCTTTACGAAGGGCCAATAGATGCCAACAATATCAAGAAGCAACTAAAATAACGTGGGATCCATCATCTTCCAAGTATAGCAATGTTTCATTACAATGTCAGCATTGTCTGGAGGCGGCTAGTCTAATCTACGAGAAAATTATTGTACCAGAAACTCAAGTGACGATTCGAATTGTGTCGTTTGACGAATTCGAAGAGAATGCTTATTATAGAAACTAGAAATCGATGTCACCAGATCTGGCGGCACGAAAGCACGAGTGTAGCAGTGGAGAAATCGAATTGACGGACCTGCTGGTGCAGCGCATAGAGAAGCAAAGCAGTATCATTGGAGCCGACTTGTTTCACCGACGACTGAGATCCGTGCGATGCGGCGGCGTAAAACCTCTCCGGGTAAGCAATGCCAGAGCTTGTTGCCCTCCCCATATGACTAGCCATTTTGATCCAAGAGACGAGAGGAAGCCAAAGGTTCAATTTAATCAAGAACGATGATGACATATGTTGCTTATTTGCTTGCTCCAAAATCCACGTGTCCAGTGAATATGGAAATTTTGATTTGGTTTTGTAATCCGATAATTGTTTGTTCGTCTGCTGATTATAACGACTTAGAAGTTTCAATCACGAACCAAATTCCATTAACCACAAAAGAAATTTCTAGACAAACAATTCTCTCTTTTTTTTAATCTACATACATTGTTACATTGATTTTATAAGTAGTACATCAATAAGAATTCTAAATAAGTTGTCCAAAACCGG